TTGGCGACGCGCACAAGGGGGGGAGGGGGGAGGGGGGAGGGCTTCTTAGAAGGGGGCTGCTTCTTAGAAGGGGCGGGCCTTACATTTACAGAGAAGGCCCGCGCCCTCTAAGAAGCAGGGGTGCTTCCAAGAAGCCTTCCCCCCTCCCCCTACCCCCTTCTGCGCGTGGCCGAGCATGATCGCGCACGGGGGGTCACACATCCGAAGCCCTCTTGGAGGCCCCCGGGGGGGCGAGGGAAAGCGACAGGGGGGACCAGCTCAGGGAGAAAGCATGGGCCTGGAGTCGACGGTGCATCGCCGAGAGGGTCCCGACAGCGAACCCGCTTGTTCAGCGAATCCGCATGTTCCAGGGCAGGTTGGGGCTATCGGGTCCCAGATCGGCGATCAATGGGCGGTTGGGGTTGATGCATCTCCCCTGAGCCTATCCCCTCCGAACGTTGCCCCTGAGGGGGGGCGCACAACCCACACGTCCGGCGCTCCAATTTTTTCGTTGCGTGGGTCGCTGGGGGTCTGGCCGACTCCCCCAGGATTGAGTCGTCGTCCCGAGTCGACTTTGGCCGTTTTGTCGGGGCCCAGAGAGGGCCCCCGGGGGCCGAAAAGTAAGGAACCGAACTCTATACACCGACGGTTTCTCTGGCCCCGCACTGAAATTCGCAAAGCAAAGCGGATAACCTCATGCCCGTGAGAATAAACACTAGGGGATAATAAAGTTCGGGGTTCAGGGAGAGATAATAAAAGTAGCCCAGCAGACCTCAGCATAATCTCGAAGTAAGAGATGATCAAGAGGAGACCAAGCCGAGCACGTTTTGAGACATCCTTGGCGTTTAGTTTTCATAGAAATATCCTCAACAATGGCTTATCTCTCATGAAAATTGTTTTTTGTAAGTGCTCGTGTAGGGTAGCTCATGTGCCTCAATTTCCATGGATAATCAACCCCAGAGATAAAAAAGTTCAGGCGAGCGTGGGGGCAGAGAGAAATATAAAAGAAGAATAATACAGTAGAATAATAATAAGAAAGAATAATAAGAGGATAATAAGAAGAGGACGAAGAAAGGAAACATCCAAAGTTCCAAATCTATCAATTTTAATTTACAAACGCTTTATGAAAATTGATTTGTTTAAGTGCTCGTGTAGGGGTAGTTCATGTGCTTCATTTTCCATGGATCATCAACCCCAGGGATAAAACAGTTCAGGCGAGCGTGAGGACAGATAGAAATATAAAAGAAGAAGAGGAAAGTAGAAGAATAATAAGAACATTGCTCGTTTCGTTTGAGTCTGCCTCCCAAAATTGTTGGTTTCGCTTGACACATCCTGAAAAAGTGTGATCGCTTCGCTTGATGTTGCTATATCAACATCGCTTGATGTTGCTATCTCAACATAGCGTTTCGAGGTGATAATGAAGTTCGGCCTCAGCGCTCGCCGCCCAACTTGACTTTTGTATAGGGCGACGATAATCTTCTCTAAATACTGAAGGGGGGGGTCCCTTTATTATCATCGGCATGCGGTTACGGGATCCTGGTATATATATATATATATATATATATATCAGTGCTTCCCTGGGAAACCGGGGAAACAAATATACACCACACCATCCCGACGTCGTGCCCGATCCTCAAGAAATCCTGGGATTTAAAAACAGCCCGCCACTGGCAATGCATATCTCAACCTCCGAGCCCAAAAACCTCGAGCGATCGACGACGGCCGCGGACGCCCCCGCGCCGAGAGGCGGCGTGGGAGCAGCGGCGCAAGGCGCGGCGCTCCTCCTGGTCGGACCCGCCTGGCCCCGCGCCGCCGGACGCGCTCGTCGTCTGGTCCGAGACCTCTTCTTGTTCGTGCGGCGCGGGGCGGGCAGGATCGGTCAGCATCTCCTTTTCCTGCTCCTGCTCCTGCTCCTCCTCCTGCTGCTCCTGCTGCTCCTGCTGCTCCTGCTCCTGCTCCTGCTCCTGCTCCTCCTCCTCCTCCTCCTCCTCCTCCTCCTCCTCCTGCTCCTGCTGATGCTGCTGCTGCTGCTGCTGCTGCTGCTGCTGCTCCTGCTCCTGCTGTGTTCCTGCTGCTCCTGCGGCTGTTGTTGCTGCTGCTCCTCCTCCTTTTCCATCTCCATCTCCATCTCTCATTCCCCTCCTCCTCTTCCTCCTCCTCCTCCTCCTCCTCCTCCTCCTCCTCCTCCTCATCCTCCTCATCCTCCTCCTCCTCCCTCCGAATCGGGACAACGGCTCGGGTCGGAGTGCGCGTCGGGATGCGAGTCGGATCGGTGCGCCCTCCCGGCGGGTGCATAGGCCACGCCTACGATCCTCCCGTCGACGGAGACCAGAAGTCTCATTGAATCGTGGCAAGGGCCCGCGCCGATCGGCAAAACGCCGACATCCAATCTTCGGGTCATAGTTCGGGTCTCCAGCGGCCGTTCGGGACGATCCGGGCATCCCCGGAACGCTCTCGGCGAGGCGCAGCCGCTGGAACGCATCCCGAGGGCGGCAAACCACCAAGAAACAAAGAAAACGCCTCGCGCGTCGCCGAGATGAATCTAGAAACGATCACCTGGAGGGCGCCACGCTTGCTGTGAGCGCGTCTCCGGGGCCCTCAAAGTAGAATGTGTGTATATACATATATATATATATATATATATATATATATATATATATCCGAATGCGCGTCGGAATCGAATCGGATTGGCCGCGCCAGGATACGCAACACCGCCGTGCGAACATCGGGCCGCATGGGCACGATGTGCCATCGGAACGGGTTCGGATCGGGCCGGCGAATCCACGCCGAATCGGATCGAACTGGTTCTGGAGGGGCACGCCCGCCGCACCAACGCCGACGACCGACGACGGCGGCGACGCGCCCTGGGTCTGGCCTGAGACTTCCGCGGAGGCGGGGGGCCGACGACGACGACGGCGACGACGATGCCCGCGGACGCAAGTCGAGAAGCTGGCCACGACGGACCGCACGAGGGGTCTGGGCGTGATTTTCAAACTATATTGATCGGAGGACGGCCGCGACGACGACGTCTTCTGGTCGGTCTCCAGGACGAGTCCAAGAAGAGGGCCAGAAACACTCCAACGCGCCTCCTCCTCCTCCTCGCGCCACTTCTGTGATTATCCTCGCAATCCCGCGTCCCTTTCCCATTTTTCTCGTCTGCCCTCATCTCTCAACTCCTCTGTCGTCGTCCTCGTTCTCCCCGTTCCGCCTCCCCTTCTTCATTCCCCATCCTCCCATCGGAGGGTGTGGGGCGATGAGGTTAACCGCGGTCCTGCGGAGATACACTGATTGACTGACACAAGACGATTGGAACACTATGTGCCAACAGGCTCTCTCACTTAATGTATATGTACACGTGCTCACGCATGATGTACTTTACACGTACTGACGCGCCATTCGCTAGAAGTGCCAGGCGCAGGGGCCGAGGTGGCACCCCGCCAGCGAGGGGATAGAACGAACCCGACAAAGACACCAACGAAACCTGGGGTACACGAGCGAAAGGCGAGGAGAGAGGCGAGAGGAAAAGCGAGACGGGCCATACAAAACCTGCGAATCAAACCTGCAGTGGTTAGCCGCCCCCACCCGAGTAGGGGTTCACGTTTTGCAAAGTGCGCGAGGCTTTGCCGCCCGAAGCTCGATGGCCCCGAGCGCAGTTCAAACACGCACGCCCCGAGGTGTCATTCCCTACCGCTCTTCGGCGGTCATCCTCCACCTCGTTATTTTCGCCCCCTATTGACGGAGAGACGCCGTCGTTCTCATCTGACATATCCACAACACCAACAGGACCCACAGGATTCATCGCCTCAAACTCCAGCTCGAGCCCTTGAGGACGTTGGTCCAGGCCGAGATCCCCTCCTCCACGTAGCCCGCCTAAGCCATCCCTTCTATGACCTGGGAACCATCAAGCGAAAGGCCGCCGAGATGCGCAACTCCTTCGACTTGTCGTCCAAGGCATACGCGACGTTGATAATATCGTCCTGCATGCAGCTCCCCAGGCCGCGCAGACGGACGCTTCGCAACAGCCCGTTCACCGCCGGCCCAGCGAGAATCTCAGGGCTCCTTGATCACGCGCCCGACCAACCGCTTTGAGAGCGCCTCGATCATCGCGATGAAGACCGCTGGCGTTGGAGGCCCCAGCGCCCGCAGCATCGCGGTCAGCTTCTCGGCCTGCTCGTTCGACGACTTCTGCAGCACGCTGCCCTGGTCCTTGGCTTCCCTGGCCGCGTCCTGTAGCTGAGTGGCCCTCGCGCGGAGGCCTGTGGCGTTCTCTGCGAAATCCTTCAGCTCGCCCTGCGTCGCCTTGACGACGGCGTTCTTCTCCTCGAGGAGGGCCGCGCAGGTGGCCGTGCCCCGCATCGCTCTCGACCTCTGGATAAGCTCGGCCACCTCCATGGGCACGAGCAGCAGCAGCCCCTCGAGGCCGTCGCAATGACCTGGGTCATCCGCCGCCCGCCTCGACAGATGCGAGGTTTCGAACCCGCCCCCTTCCGACCCGTCGCGCCGCCGCTGGCGCTTCTCGCCGCTCTGGCCCTTGCTCTCCTTGCGGTCCCCCGTGTCCTCCGCGTCGCCATTGGACCCGACTCCACTTGCCTGCAACGGAGCCGAGGAGCCTGCCCGCGGGCGCCGCCGCCCCCTCTCCCCGACCTCGACCGCGCAGGGAAACGGGGCCCCGAGGCACTGGCAGAACTGTAGCGGATCGAGTATCACAACCTCGGAGCCGTGGGCCAGGAGGAACGGGGGCGGCGCGCCGCGGGGGCCTCGGCCCCGAACGTGCATGACCGAAAGGAGACCGTCAGCGTGCGCATATATATATATATATACACATATATACCCATACACAGTCATAGACATATACATAGACATTTATATTTATACATATACAGATACATGTTGGTATATATATATATATACACACCGCAAAGGCCTTTCGATCCGTTTACTTCGCGCGCCCCCGTTGGGCGGCGACGCCGCCCCCCGCGACGCCCCAGTGCGCTGGCCGGGCCCGCCCGCCTCAAGCGGGGCAAAACAGCGACTGCATGCGAAAGAAAAAACGCCCTTGTTAAGAACCGAACACTCGGAAGAAGAAACAAAACAGAACGGCCATGCCAAGAGGCAAACTGACTTCTTTTAAAGAGCCAGAAACTCTCTTCGCAAGGACTTCCCCCCAACCCCACGCGCGTCATCGCCGCCGCGATGTCCACCCGCGCGCTTGTCCCCCAAATCTGTTCCCACGCAAACGGCAAGGGCGCGTGCGAGGTCGATTTGCACCGGGTCAGTGCTGGCATTGGTCTCGGTGCCGCAATCGACGTGGAGCGACCCTCCTGCGCGGGCGGCAGGCGAGCGCGCGAATGGCTGCGGGGCATCTCGCGCGCGGCGAAAAGAGCCCCGCGCAAGGCGCGCGCGTTCGACGAGACATCCACGAATCTGCACGGGCACGCCGCGCTGCGAATGGCACGCCCCCCCGCCGCCAGTGCTGCGCGAGCGCAAGGCGTTTGCCCGCAGATCGTTCCATCGGGGCCAGCCTGGGCCGGACGCTTGCAAGTCTCTGTCCACGTTTGCATCTCCCCGCAAATGCGCGCCACCCCGGGCGTCGGGCGCGCGGTCTGCGAAGCGCTCTGAGGGCGCCGCGGCGCGGCGGCGAAGGCGCTGCGCAGAGACCACGGGCCAAACGGAATGACGAGAGAATTGCCCCCCCCCCCCACCCCCGCGCCCCGTAGCGCGCCCACCGCCGCGCCAGGTCTCCAAACCTCAGCGAAAGACCCGGCCTCGGGGAAACTGCGCGTTGCCCCCAGCTCTCGTCGCAGTTGACGGGCCCGAACATGAGCCGCAGCATCTTCAGCCATGACTAGCGCCGAGCAAAGTCAAAGGGCGGCGGCGTTCTCTCGCCGGCCCAGCCCGCCCTGCCGAAAGCGATGGACACAATGCGCGCGTAATTGCGCGGCCCGCGAGCGACCGGCCGACGAGCGCGAAGCCGTTGCGTCGTCGCCTCCACAGCAACGGGGGCAGGGTGTCAACGCGGATATACTTCGCGCGATGCCTTCAATTGAACACGGGCGTTCTGCGCGCTGGCCGCGCCAACCGTCATTGGCAGTGGCGCGACCCGCGCACCTGTGAAACCTCGGAATCCGTCTGGCCGAATCAAGCAAGCCATCTGGGCGTAGGAAGTCCAGCGAGCTTCCCCTTCCACTCCCCTTCCTTCCCCTCCGGGGAGGGGTTGCCCCCCCCCCCCCCGCGCCCTTTCCCCTTGACCTGGCGGGGGGGGGGGGGGTCGCGAAGCGTTGAGAGATGGCCCGACGCGACTCCGACTCTAGGAAAGCTTCCAACATGACTTCCAAGATGGCGCAATAATATTCCAAATGGTGCCCAGGATGCTCCAAGAGCCCCCGAGACCGCTCCAAAACGGCCCAGAGTAGCCGCGGGGCCTTCTCTGGAGGCAGCCAAGAAGCAGAAAAACACATGAATTGCGGCCTCTCTCCGTTCCGCCCCCGGTATCCAAGGCCCCAAGACAGCTTCAAGAGGGCCCGCGCGGGCACCCAGAAAGGGCCCAAATGGGGGCCCCGAGACGGCCCCGGCGGCGCCCCGGGAGCGCCCGAGAAGCTATTTTTGAGACCCCCGAAGGGGGGCCGCGATTGGAGCCCCCATCTTCCATGATCGATGTCCTCCAGGATGACTCCGAGAGCGCCCCCGAGGCTTCCGAGAGCGCCTCAAGAGGGCCCCGAAGGCGCACGGGACGGCCCGAGAGGCGCACGAGACGCCCCCCAGAGGCACCCCAAAAATGCCCCCCCAAGGCGCCCGAGAGCGCCCCGATGGGGGGCCTTCCTCTGCGTTCTGCCCACTTCCCAAATCGAGGCAACTCCTCCGGGCATCGCCTCTGGACGGGCTTGCTGGGCAACGCGAAGCATCGAGAATGATCGCGCCCAGGAGGGCCGCGCCACTTAACAGTGATATGAACATCAGCCGCTTGAAACGACAGGGCGACGCCGAATGCCAGCGGCCGCGCGGCCGCGCGCCATCGCCCGCCCCTCGTCGATCGTCCGGGCCGGTCTCCAGCCCGCAGCCGCTGCTGCTCGGCGCCAACCGGCTCCCGAGATGCCTCGACTTATGCCCATGACGGCAGCCGCAATCATTGAAGGCGCGAGTGGCACGATGATCCAGGTGGCGCGAAACAAGATGGGACCACGCCCTGCTTGTCTTTGTCCTGAAAATTCTCCTCGCCGCCAACGCCCGGTCAAAGCCCGAGTCGTTCCGCCCGGAAAATGGCCGCGATTTCGGACGCCGCTCGCAGCTCCAGCGGGTCGAGTTGCATCTTCAAGACGTCGCCCATGATAACGCCCATGCTCGCGACAATCGGCGGGTGCTTCCCGAACTTGATCTGCGCGGAGCCACCGGCGGCCGCCTGGTCAAACGCGGCCCGCTTCTGGGCGGCGAGGTGGTGGTTGGAAGGAAATCCTCGGGATGAGACGCGTCGCACACGCGCCCGCCCGCGCCCAACTTCACTGCTACTTCGCGTTCAGCCCCGGGGACAACCAATCACCGTCGGCGAGGCACTCGGGCCCCGCGCAGTGCGCGTTCTCCTTCGACGCCAAACGCACCCGAACGCTATGTTCCAACTGAAACTTGCGGTTGCTGCCGAAGGCGCTCACGGCGTCGCAGCTCTTGTGCAACAGCGGCTCGCCAGCTCGCAGGCCTTGCCGCGCCACCGCCCTCGCCGTCGTCATCGGGGGCCCTCGCCTGCGCCCCCAATCCGCAAGAGCCCCCGGGGGGAGGGCGAAAGGCCCCCCCGCGCAAGTGGCCGCTACGAAGGACCGCGCGCCACCGTGCAACAGCGAATGACGTAGAGGAGTCGTCTCCTCTCGGGCCCACCCCTAGCGGTTCGTCTCGTCCAGGAAAGAGCCGTGCGGCAGGGGGCCCGGGGCGGGGGGCCGGCGAACTCTCTGCGCGCATTCAGACAGAGGCGATGAAGCCGACGACGAGATTCAGCCGCGCAAGCCAACGTCCGCGATGGCCTAGGTGCCGCTGCCATGTCGCGACGATGCCAAGCAAACTGCAACTCCGATTCCGTCAACTCCCGGATTTCGCGGGACCGCCTGCGCCTGGGGGACTGCAGGGCACTGTGGAGAAAAGATGCGACACCAAAAATGGGTCCCCATGATCGGCCGAATCATGAACAATGCGCGCTAGCGCGACTAACCAAGTGGGCCAGAATAGAAGACGATCAACATCTGGCTTGGTCAGACGATGCGCAATTTGAAATCCGATTGGCACCGTGGTTCGTCCGAGGGGAACTCTGCGGAGATGTTGGGGGATCTCGGAGACACTCCCTGCGAGGCGGGGATCTATCCATGTCCACCACCGCATATATAAAATCGACGCCCCGGGACCCCATCGGGCGGTGATATTAATCCGCCGGCCCTATATCGGCGTGTCTGAAAAGTCTTTCCGTTTGAATCGCCGCCGCCGCTATCCACCTTTCCCTGTGCCTTCTTCCTCAAGCGACCTAGCAAGGCGAACGTCGAACAACGTCACAATCGGGTCAAAAGAAGACCTCTTCCATTTGATCTTCTTCATGAGCCGTAAATTTGTTTCTGCAACTGGAAAATCATCAGGAGCATGCCCTCGCAATGCTTCTGGTCTCCTCATCGCCTCCACGCCTCATGGCCTGCCTCGCGCACTCGCGGTGCCTGCGCGCTTCTGCGAAGCAGTGGAAGCAAGCAAGGCATACCTGGCAGCAGTCCTCTGGCCACGCGGCGGCTGGCCCGGGACGATGGCAGCAACGAGGCGGGCCGCCAGCGCGCCCATGGTGTTGGCACCACCCGTACACCGCGTTGTCTCATGGGGAGTTCGGCACCAGCGGCGCCGCCCGCATGCGCCCGCGCCATTAATTTCGGCACGCGCTCGACACGCTTGGTGGCTCCATCGGGAGCCCCGCCGAAGGCCCCCAGAACACCAGGGGCACCCCCAGGGTACTCCAAGTGCCCCCATCGGCGCCCAGAGCGTCCCCGGAGCCCCCCTGGAGCTTCCCACAGCCCAGAGCTCCCACATATGTTCAGACGGGCCAAGATGTTGACAGAGCAACGACATGTGTACATGTACGCCCTCCGCGGTCTTGCGTGCACGAACCTCCGCGTTCAAACGCAATTCGGCGGAAACAAACCGCGTACATGTACATATGCTGTTGCCCTCTGAGATGTGCGGTTCGGTGCAAAACCCGGTCGACCCACCACCCGCCCCGGGGCACACATCCCCCTTGCGGGACCCCGACCCTCGCTCGCCGCCGATCTCTCCAGGAGGCCGTTCCCGGGGCCCTCCCGGGGGGCCCGCTGCTCCTCCCTTGGGCCGTCGCCTCGCGAAGGGCCTCGAAGGGTCCCCGGGGAAGGGGGGGGCGGGTGGCCCAGACCTTCCTGGACCGCTGGGACATAGCACTCCAGAACTGTAGCTCCTCCTCCTCCTCCTGCTCCTGCTCCTGCTCATGCTCCCCTTCCTTCTCCTCCTCCTGCCTTCTCCTCCTCATCCTCCTCCTCCTGCCTCCTCCTCCTCCTCCTCCTCCTCCTGCCTCCTGTTCCTCCTCTTCCTTCTCCATATTATCCTCCTCCTCCTCTTATTATGATTTTTGTCAGTATTCGCATTATTCGTATACCTCTTATCATTATTCATAGTATTCTTATCATGAATATTACGTTTCGCCTGCTTAGTTTAATCATCATTCGTCTTGTTCTCATTATGAGTATTCGTCTTAGCATTCGTAGTCGTATTATTATTATTAGTCGTATTATTATTCTTGTAATTGACGTTTTTCTTCAGCGTATTGGAATTATTGTTCGTATTATGCTTATAATTCGTCTTATTATTAATATTCCTATTATTGGCATGAGTATTATTAGTATGTTTCGTAGTATTGTTATTAAACAACATTAGTATTATCAGCGCGCTCGACGAGTTCAGAATCCCACCCCCGCCGCCCATCAAGTTGCCAAAAAACCATTGATCGGCGAGGGTGGAATTCGGACTTCGCCGCCGAACCCTCTTCATGGCCAGCACTCGAAGTGCCTCTTTCAGGAGCAACGTGAGGGGGGGGACCGGGCTCGGGGGGAAAGCATCGACCCGAAATCGAAGATACGTCGCCAAGAAATCGGCGGTGGGCCTACGATAGCGAATCTGAGTGTTCCTCGGCAGGATAAGGCCATCGGACCCCTTATCGGCGAGACGTCAGGTTCGTGTCGTGCCGACTTCGGCGTTGGTTTCTGACACCGCGGGGATCGCTCAACCTTGAACAATCGGCCGTTTCCGAAACGCCCACATCGTTCCACATCGAACGACTCTGGGTCGCCCGCGGCGTTCGAAGTTGAACGCCGGCGGCGGGGACTTCGCCAGTCGACACGACGCGAACCTGTAATTAAATGGGCGCTTCCCGGTTCGATACGCCCCCCTGAGACGATCCCCTCCGAATGTTGCCCATGACCTAGGTCGGACATGTCCCTGTACAGCGGATTTTGGAAGAATTTGTTTCCTCGAGGGCCCACGAGGCAGAACAGTGCCGCCCTCAGGCGGGATCAATGGCGGCAGCCTTCGCTGCCGCCTCCTTCTCGCCTGCATGCCAGGCGTCGCGACGAAGCGCGAGCGGGATGCAGTCGATCTGGACTGGTGCGAAGGTGCTGCATCAATCACGGCCTGGGCTGACCGTCTGCACGGCTCCGATACACACTCATCATTGTGACACTGCGGATGGAGGCCTTGCTTAATTCTGAACAGGGTCTGAGGACCGCTCTTGCCCCGTCTGTTTAAACACTCCGAGCCCAGCAAAACACACCTCTTGGACGAGTAGGCCCCACACTTATAGCAAAACACTGAGTGGTCCTGGTACACGAAAGTAGATGTCCACGCTCTTCGGCATCATTGAGATGACTGAAAGCCGTGGGGATGCCTCGACAACCCACCATTGACCGATTCTGGTCCAAGGAGATCACAAAACAACGCGCGCTCCTCAACGCCACCCCAGGATCGATCTCACGCCAGTCATGCCAGCACAACAACCTGTCAACAAGCATGTAGACATAGTCAAACGAGCTCGAAACATCGTCCCCAGTCTATTGTTTGACAATTCTTGCATACTCCCAGAGTGTGGAGGGACACGCCCGTCTTCGCCCATGACGCCTCTGCCTCCAGGACCCCCCATCAGGACCCCCCCCTGCCCTCCACCCCTGGGCGCGCGAAGCCCTCCGGCCCCAGACGCGACCGCCACGCTCGCCCCCTCCCGGGCATCGGTCCTGTCGAGTCGGCTCGGAACGCGCGTCGGGGCGGATCGGCCGAAAACTCGACACCTCGCCGGAATCGAACGGGCTGCTCCGCGCCAGGAGGCACCGCAGCCCCGCGCGAGCCGTCGGGCCGCATGGGAGCGCGGGAGCCGAACAGGATCGGCTCGGGCCGGCCAGAAGCCACCTCGAATCCGATTCGCTCGCTCCGAGCGAACTCCCCGCCCAGCCCGGCGGGGCCTGGCGACCGCAGAGTTTGGCGGGCTCGGACGCCTGGCGAGGCCGCGGCGGCGCGCGGCGGGAAGAGAAGGAAGGGGCCCTGGGACACACAAATGAATACACACAACTAAGAGGATTCCCCATATGTTCCCTCATTTCATGGGTTGCTGTATTTCCCCCCGCTTCCCATACTTTCCCACATTTTCCTGTGGATCGACGATTAAATGTGTCTGTGTGTTGTGTCCCCTCCCGAGAGGAGCACACCGCGCGCGGGCGCGTCGTGCGGACTGGCCGCGCCGACGCGGCAGGGCTGGCTCCGGCCGCGTCGGCGCGGGCGGCCGTTCCCAGACCCCCCACACCATGATTTTTGCACGTTGGGTCTGGACCCCTTCCCTGGGTCCGTTGTGTCGTCCTGAGTCGGTTCTTGACAGTCCCGGGGCCCAGCGAGGGCCCCCCGAGGCCAAACATGCGGTCAAAAACCCTGATAAGGACGCGCTTGTAAGGACGCAAGACCTTCGGAAGCCGAAGTTGGGATTTTTGGGGCGGCGGACGACGAAAACCTCAAGGACGCAAGAGCAAGGAAGAGCAAGGACGCAAGGGTACCCTGAGCAAGGACGCGCGTCCTTATTAGGGTTTTTGACTGTACAGAGCGCTCCCGACCGCGACGGGACGAGGATTGGACGCGCTGCGCCCACCAAACACGGGGGGCAGTCCGTCGAGATTGGCCCAGCAACGCTCCATCTCCGCTCGGGCCGCGCGCGCCTTCCCTCGTGCCCTGCCAGCAGTTGACCAGAGCATCACACCTCCTCGCCACGAAGGCCCACGAGTCCTGGCATTCTGCTTCCATTCGCTGCTCCTGCCCGCTGAGAGAACTGGCCTGCCAAATCACTGCCGAGTCTGCATCCGTGTCCGCCTGTCACGGGGTGGACTTGCCACCCCTGTAATACCTGGCCAGGCTGCTTCATGCTCGAATGTCTCACCGTGTTCGTCGCGCGGAAGCCACGCCGACACCTTCCGACCCTTTTCGGGCGTTCTTCGCGGTGCCAGACCAAGAGACGCCCCCCCACGACAATCCAAGAGATCGGCAAGACGCCCATGCTTCCATTCGAAGCGGTCCCACCCGAACCCCCGAACCTCAATCCCAGATCGGCCGAAAGAACCTGGGCGCCAAAACACCCCCAGAAAGGCCCTCGTGAGGCCCGCAGGAAGCCCGCAGCCGTTCCCCCAAAGGCCCCCAAGAAGCTTCGATGGCAGATCGGGGGGCATGGGGGAGCCACTCCAATGCCCATCGGTCGGAAGCAGTAGTAGATAGAAACATGAAGCAGGAAGGCGTTGCAAGTAGATGGAGCTCCCGCCCGCCCCCTGGCGAGGAGGGAGACAGGGACAACAGCTCGATCATGGAAGTAGAACGGCGTGTTAGATTGGGATCTGCACTGTCCAAAAGTACCTGGTTTTAAGAACCGACGGGTAGCCACTGGACTCTCGCAGGGCTGGAGCGAAGCAGTCATTTCTTCGTTTTCGCATTGTTTTCGTTTTCCCTCCTTCTATCTTCGTTCCGCCCTTGTAGCGAAACGAAATCACAACGAAAACGGCCCATGAAATCAGGAAAACACACGTAGCTCCAGCCCTGGGCCCTCGTTCTGTGGGCTGGGCGATGGAGCGCACGAAGGCCGCAGCCGCCGCGCTCATCCCAGGGTTAGGTCGGGCGTGTCCCCCTTACAGGCGGATCTTGCGATGTTCCCCAATCAGTGCTTGCACTGAAGGAGTCCTAGCAGGTATTGTTGAGCAGGGACCGACCGTCCCGGTCTAACTACCACTACATGTTCTTAGAAACTACAAATGGGAAGGCGAAAATCCACCCCCACCCCCAGTCCCGACCACATCCCCGAACCCGCGATCCAGGGGGACGGGACTGGGGGTGGGGGTGGCTTGTCGGGGCCCAGAAATACAGAAAACCCACCCTCACCCCTAGTCCCGACCTCTTGAATCGCCGGCTCGGGGATGGGAGTCGGGACTGGGGGTGAGGGTGGGTTTTCGCCTTCTGAAAACATGTGTTCAGAACAAAGCCAATGTTCTTAGAACATAAACCCGATGTGTTAAAACAAGACAGCCCCAGCCAGAAATGTTCTGAGAACATTTCGTGCAAACCACAAAGGTTCTTAGAACATTCTAGGACTCGTCGCCACGGCTTGATATTGAAACATTTGGCGAACATTTCGGGCCGATCTCGGCAGCCGGCTGGGTGTCCGGGTTCCCGGTTCCGGGCCTGTTTCTGGGCTCTCGGGTTCCCGGTTGCTGGTTCTGGGCCGATTGCGGTATCCCACAAAGATCGAGCTCACCATCCACAGATTGGTTTTTTTCTCTGGGGTGTAATTGCTTAACGGTGGGAACCAAATTGTAGGAAATCGCGAACCACACTCCCCTACAAGTTCAGTCTGCGAGCAGACGAACCAGAACGACACAGCTCGTTGTAGGAAATGTGGGCAATGCGCTCCCACAATAGAGAAACCTAAATCGTCATTACCCACATCGCCGATAGCCCGTCTACGGGAAACATTCTTAGAACAAAAGGGTGCTCATTGCGCAGGCCGAAAGGAAGCAAACACGTGCAGCAGCCCGAATTAAATTCCAGCAAAGCCTGAAGGCAGGCCAAGATCAGCACAGCCTTGAAGAGAGAGGCCCTCCCGATTTAACTCCAAGATGATTAGCCCTGCAGCCTCTTAGAGGACCCTGGAAGGCTGCTCGTGAATCCAGCGTATCACGTCACGACGGTCTCGGCCTGACATGCTCTGCTAAAATGTCGTGCAACGCACAGGCGTTTCTTAGAACGTTCTCTGGTGGGCCTATAGATCGGTCGGGCATGTCCCCGACAGGCGGATCTTGAAAGACTCATGAAACAAGTCAGAACATATTCCAAAATAGTTACGAGAACTAGTCGAAAACTCGTCCCCAGGCGATTTGCTGACTATGTTTCAATCTTCCTCCTGTAGAGGGACATGCCCGACCTGGAGCTGGAGCAGAACCGCGCACGCTCGTCGGCTCGGCTCGGCCCGCGCCCGCGAACAAGGCTGGGCAACCGCGCGTGAACTTGGCGGCGCGCAGGAGGGGGGTCTGGGGGAGGGGGAAGGCGTCTTGCAAGAAGGCAGCTTCTGAGAAGGTGTTTGTTTTTCCTTCCAACCTCATTAAGTTAATGTGAACAGAGGAAAGGAGGCGACGTCCCTCTATTTCTGACCCTACCTGCAACGCGTTGGGAAGCAGGAGGTCGTGGAGACGGCCTTACATCCACAGAGCGCCTTCTCAGAAGCAGGGGTGCCTCTAAGCAGCCTTCCCCCATCACTCTGCCCCCCTCTGCGCGTGGCCGATGAATCCTGCCCCTGCACGTCGGGGACTCCTGACGGGCAAGCCGGGTTCTCACAAAAACGCCGCGGCGAGGCGCTTGTCGCCGCGAGGAGCTCTTCCCGGGAACCAGGCTCTCGTCCCAAATTCGTCGTCTATGGCGGCCCCTGAGCCCGGCGCGCGTGCCCCACCAGTTTCAAGATAATATGCGTAGTAGTAGGGGGGCGGCGAACACGAGGACAACGTGGGTTACGAAGGCACAGGCAACGGCAACAGCAACGGCAACGGCGGCGGCGGCGGCAGCAAACGCGGCGGCGGCGAGGGCTCGCACGAGGCGCCTGGCGCCCCCACAGCCCCTCGCGGAGGGCGTCCTCGACGCCCGCCTCGTCGAACTCGATGAACGTGTTCCTGCGGTCTGGCCGCGAAGGGGCGGGGTGGACGAAAGGGCAGGAGAGTCCAGAATCGAACCGATAAGTCGGATCGGCGACAAAAACGAATCGGATCGGCGGAAATCGGCAGCCGAGCCGGGAAAAATCGAATCGGCGTAAATTGGCAGGCTAGTATGCCTCCAAGAAGAAATTGGAGCCCCAATCGGGATCCCAAGTCGAACCGAATCGGAATCGGAAGCCATCGAAATCGAACCGGATCGAATCGGTTGAGTCGAAGCAAGCCCTGAATGCTCCTACAGCCACCACTACAGTGCTACCACTACTACTGTACGGGTGCAATACTACGACTTCAACTGAATGCTACTAATACGGTGACACTACGGCACTGGGGTACTAGGATACGGCTATCGTGCTTGAGCACTCCACTGTTAAAGCTCCACTGCGTCTACTGCCAGTATTAAAATACTACTGATACAATACTACAACACCACTACTGCAAAACTACTGCTACAGTGCTGTATTACGACTACTACAGCATCAACACTACAGCACAACTGCACTAAATGCTGCTGCAGTTGTGCGATACTTCGGCAATTGAATATTCCTACTACAATACTGTAGTACACTCATTGCAGACAGCGGTACAGTACTAGCCATGCGCATACTGTACTAGAGGACTGTTTCTACAGTGCCGCTGCTACACTAGAGAACTGTTCCGCAGCAGTACAGCATCCTTCCCACTGAACTTCTACATGCTACTACTGTAACCGAGAACTACAGTAGTGGGCGACTTCTACTACAAAACTGCAGTGCGGCTACGAAAGCAAGTACCCGAATATTGTATGTACTGCTAGACCTGCGTACTACCACTGCAACTACAGGATTACTACAGTGCTGCCGCTTCATTAAAGCAGTGGAATTATTGAATTGGCACGGTATCGAAGAACCACCCGAAAAGCAATGGAGTACCACTATTGCGATACTCTGCTACATCACTGTGCAACGACTGATACAGTGTCTACAACACTTCCGGAGTCCAAATACTGCAACAGTGCTGCGAAACTGCGGCATTCGAGCATTTCTACAATAGTGGAGTGCACTCGGTGCAGGCAATGGTAGAGTACTATTCATGCAACTTCTGAACTATAGTACTGCTTCTACAGTGCCACTACTGCGACAGTACAGCACTATCCTCTATTCCACAATATTGCAGCACTCTTCCTAAAGCACTACCACTAAAGCGCTGGAATTCGAAGATAGGACTACTGTACCCGAGTACTACAGTAGTGGACTACTCCTAGCATAACACTACAGTGCGACTGCAAAATCATGCACTACATTATGATCTTTACTACAGGACCTGGGTACTACTACTACTACTACTACTACTACTACTACTACTACTACTACTACTACTACTACTACGACTACGACTACGACTACGACTACGACTACGACTACGACTACGACTACGACTACGACTACGACTACGACTACGACTACGCTACTACTACTACTACTACTACTACTACTACTACTAGTACTAGTACTACTACTACTACTACTACTTATTCTTCTACTTCTACGTCTACTACTACTACTAACAATACTACTACTACTACTACTACTACTACTACTACTACTACTGCTACTACTACTACTACGACTACTACTACTACTACTACTACTACTGCTACTACTACTACTGCTACAAATACTACTACGAATGCGACTGCTACTGCTGCTGCTACTACTACTACTACTTCTACTACTACTACTACTACTACTACTACTACTACTACTACTACTACTACTACTACTACTAAGACTACTACTAAGACTACTACGACGACGACGACGGCAGCGGCGACGACGACGACGACGACTACTGCCACTACAGCGTTACAACAGTACTGTCTCACCATTAATGCAATACTACCACGGTAGTCCTAGAATGCTGCAGTAGTACGGCACTACAATGATTACAATACTACAGTACGAATGCTACTCCTATTACGTCCCCGACTCCTACACATGCTACTACTATCACTAATACGATGACGACTGCTACTACTACTACTACTACCACTACTACTACTACTATTACTACTACTACTACTACTACTACTACTACTACTACTACTACGGCTACTACGACGACGACGACGACGACTACTGCTACGACTGCTACGACTGCAACGACTACGACTACGACTACGACTACGACTACTACTACGCCGCCGACAACGACTAGTACTAAAGCACTGCGTCGACAATACAAGAGTGCTACCACAGCTGTAGTAATAGACAACTACTACTTCAGTGCCTTCCTGCATCTGGGGCCATGGTAGGGGAGGAGGAAGAGGAAGGATGCGGGGCCTCCCCCGTGTCCCCTTTCTCCCTCCTGGGTCTTGGGGCAACGGAGGAGGAGGGAGGATGCAAGGCTCCCCCGTCTCCGTAGTACTGGGCGTAATCGTCGTTGTCCCTCCTCCGCCTCAGCCTTCTCGTGCTCGTCCTCCTCCTCCTCCTCTTCCTCCTCCTCCTCCGCACCCTCATCCTCCCCTGGGGAGGGGATTTACCTTGTTAGTTTGATTCTCCCCCCCCCCTGACCAACACTGGCAGTAGAGGGGGGGGGAGGTACCCCCCCCCGTGGTCACGAACCATAGACATCGAGGTTCGCATAATCGAGGTCGCCACCACGCGGCCAGCACAGCGAGGTTCGCACAGCGAGGTCCACCGCCCTCAAAGAAAAACGCGAGGAAGACTACGAAAAGAAACCTTACAGAACCAAGGGGGGGGAATAGGACAGGACCCCTGTATATGTATATATGTATATATGTATTTTATATATATGTGTGTAGATATGTATATATGTGTATATGCATATATGTATACATGGATATGCACATACAGTCGACCCGTATCATAAGGATGCGAGATAAGGATGCAAGGGCCTTGGAAGGCCATTTCGAAGCTTTTCGAGCGGGGCACGGCAAGCAAAAGTGGCCAAGGACAGGCCGAGAAGGCAAGGATGCAAGGGTGCCCTTAGGATAAATTGCCCATCCTTACCATGCGGGTTGACGCTATGTGCTTTTATGACCTGTAAAGACACTCGCCATCGCTCGGACGTCAATTTTTTGTGTTTTTTTTCAGTCTCGTGCGTGGTTTTTTCGCCAAATGGTCAAGGATGCTCCTCGATGGTCCTCGCCGAGGAAAAAACGCACACGTCCGAGCGATGCCAGGGACAAGGGCAGAGGAGGTGGTGAAGGAGGAGGAGGTGGTGAAGGAGGAGGAGGAGGAGGAGGAGGAAGGAAGAAAGAGGAGGGCGCGGAGGAGGGACCGACCCGCCCAGGCGACCCCCCGTGGCCGCACCCGTGGGGGTCGGCAAAGGCCCCTCGCGCGCGGCGCGCTCCCCGCGCGCGGCCCGGGCGCCCGCCGCGCGCGGGGGGGGGGGCTCCTCACCGTCAGGGCCGCGCGGAGGTCCTGCGTTGCCGGGGCGCGGCGGGGGGGCGAACGGACGCTGCCGAGGCCTCCGAGGGCCCCGCGGTCCAAGGGTCCCGCGGAGAGCTCGGATCGTGCTGCGAGCGCTTTCTTTTTCGGCGTTTCGACCTCTGGCCATCGCTCGGACGTCCATTCCCGGTTTTTTTTTGTTCGGTTTCGTGCGTGGCTTTTTGGGCAAATGAGCAAGGATGCTCCTCGATGGTCCTCGCCGAGAGAAAAATGCACACGTCCGAGCGATGCCAAGACCTTGGGCTTAGGTCAGGCGTGTCCCCCTACAGGCGGATTTTGGACGAACAAATGAGAAATTGTCAAGAAATGGACCAAACATGCTCATGTAAAAAAGAAAAACAAAAAAAGCCCCTGGCTATGTTCGAACTATTTTTGAATATTCCTCCTGTAGAGGGACATGTCCGACTGAACCTTGGGCGGAAAGGGGGGGGGTCTGGCTCCGGATCTCTGCTCACTGCGACTGTTTGCAGCAGTGCGGCCTGTGGGGGGAGACCCCACCTGCTTGAGACAGGCGCCAGAAACAGCCAAGATCTACTCCTGGGGGGGGAGAGGGGGGGGGGCGACGGGCCCGCGCCGATCGGCAAAACATCGAAAAAGAAAGCGATCGCATTGGAGTGACTGTAAAGCTGTTTCCCCACCGAACAAGTTGGGGGTGGAGGCCTCGAGAAGACAGAGAAGAACTCCTGGCCCGCCCGGCACACCCTGCACACCGCGGCCGTCCAGGCCCGTGGAGATCGCCCGAAGCAAACCCATCGCTCTGGCTGTGCCTCTCGGATCGGATCGCAACGTGCGTCGGATCGGGACGGCGTCGGCACGGAGTCGGAATCAGATCGGACCCGCTGCGCAAAGGGCGCACGACGGCTTCGTGCAGGAATCCAGCGGGGCCCGTCGGATCGTTGGAGTGTCGTGATCGAGTCGGATCGGGCCGGGCGAACGTGGTTTCGAATTGGATCGACTGGAACGTGACAGGGTGAGAGAGAGAGAGAGCGAGAGAGCGAGAGGGGGATATCCGCTGGCCTCCTTGCGAGGCCACCAAGCTGCGGGGAGTAGGTCTGCTAGCCCCTGCTCCAATTTCAATTCCAAATCTCCCGTGGTATAGTCCTACTTTCTCTCCTACTGTAGGATCCCAAGGCGTAGGTGGTGCAGTGAGGCTCCTCTTCCGACCCCATTTTTCCCCTTCGGGGAAGGGTTACCTCTCCCCCTTACCCCCTTCCCTGGCATTGGACGGGGCCGGTCGCGAGGCGTTGGAGCGTCCAAGATGGACCAAGACGGCTCGAAGAGCGCATCAGAGCCCAAGATGACCTCCAAGATGGCTCAAGATAGCCCAAGATGCCTCAAGATGGCTCCCAAGATGCTCCAAGAGGCCCCAAGAACGCTCCAAGACAGCTCCAGGTGGCCACGGAGCCTCCCCAAGAGGCCGCCCAGAGGCGCAAAATCCTTCCAAAACCTTAGGATCATCACTGCTTTTTGCGTTCTCGCCTTTTCGCTGCCGATGGCCTTCCGAGGCCTCAAGATGGCTCCAAGATGGCCCAAGAGGAGCCCCAAGAAGCCAACAAGACGGCCCCAAGAGCGCCCACGAGCGCTCCAAGAGCGCCCCAAGAGCAGAGGGGTGCCCTAATTGAAGTTCCCCTCTTTGTTGATCGATGTCTTCCAAGATGGCTCCAAGAGGGCCTACCCCCTCCCCCTGGGCCTGGAGAGGGGGGGGCGCGGGTCGTCAGGGGGGTCAATTTCGACTCCTGGGAGGGCTAAAAAACGACACCCCTCACGAGGATTCTGGCCCCGACGGGGGGAGGGAGAAAAAACCCTCTCCTCTTCTTTGAAGCGAAAATCAGTGATTTTACTACGGTTTCGGCCCCATTTTGGCCTTCTGAGGGGGCAGCGCTCCTCTTCCTTCATAGCAAAATCATTGATTTTACGAAGGTTTTGGGCTCATTTTGTTCTTCTCAGGGGGCAGCGCTCATTTGCGCTTCTGAGGAGGTCGCAAGAGGCCCCAAGCTGGCCCCAAGAGGCCCCCAGGAGGCCCCCAAGAGGCCTCCAAGAGGCCCCCAAGAGGCCCCCAAGAGGCCCCAAGAGGCCCCCCAAGAGGCCCCCAAGAGGCCCCCAAGAGGCCCCAAGAGGCCCCCAAGAGGCCCCCAAGAGGCCCCCAAGAGGCCCCAAGAGCCTCCAAGAGGCCCCCAAGAGGCCCCACGAGGAGCCCGAACGACTCACACCAGGACGAGGGGCCCGAACGACTCACACCACGAAGAGCCCGAACGACTCACACCAGAAGGAGGGGCCCGAACGACTCACACCAGGACGAGGCGCCCGAACGACTCACACCACGAGGAGCCCGAACGACTCACACCACGACGAGGGCCCCGAACGACTCACACCACGAGGAGCCCGAACGAGTCACACCAGGAGGAGGGGCCCGAACGACTCACACCAGGACGAGGGGCCCGAACAACTCACACCACGAGAAGCCCGAACGACTCACACCAGGACGAAGAGCCCGAACGACTCACACCACGAAGAGCCCGAACGACTCACACCAGGAAGAAGGGCCCGAACGACTCACACCAGGACGAGAAACCCCAAACGACTCAAACCACGAGGAGCGCTTTCTCTCCCTCCTCCTCCGCCTCGTCCTTCTCCCGCTCCCACCACAAGGAGGATGTACAAGGAGGCGGGAGGAAGGAGGAACAGGGGAGATATGCGGGGGCAGGCGGAAACACGCCTGAAAAACACGACTGTCGGTATGCTTCGCAAGAGTTGCTGATTTGAGATGGGCTGGTGGGGATACGCGAAGCGTGAAGAATTCCCCTCTTTGGTGATCGATGTCTTCCAAGATGGCTCCAAGAGGGCCCAAGAGGTCTCCAAGAGGGGCCCAAGAGGCCAACAATACGGCCCCAATATCGCCCACGAGCGCTCCAAGAGCACCCCAAGAGGCGTTTTGGGGGCCTCCAGGGAGGGCCCTAATTGAAGCTCCCCTCTTTGTTGATCGATGTCTTCCAAGATGGCTCCAAGAGCGCCCCTAAAGCTCCCAAGAGCGCCCAAAGACGGCCCCAAGAGGCGTCCAGATGGCCCCAAGAGACGCCCAAGGGGCCTCCAAGAGAATTCCAAGAGACCCCCAAGAGAAAAAAAGCTGCTTCGCATCTGCATAAACCGTCGTGGACTGCTCGGTACACCCACCGCAAGTAGGTCAACACCAGGCTCACTGATGGCCAGAGTGGTGAAGTGTGGAACCGAAACGTACAACGTGCGCGGTGAGTGTCAGTGGAGCCGCTGTGGCACTGGAGCAAGGCAGGACATGCAAGAGTGAAGGCCCCATAATGAGAAGCAAAACCAACATCAATAATAATAATAATAATCAGAAGAGGAACACGGAGGGAGGATGAGGAGGCATGCCTCAGAAAAGCACATGCTACCACAAAATGCGGCCAACATAATCACATATACAACTCAAGGGAATGCAAGCCGGGTCCGTTGCAGACGACTGCGAGGATGTCGAAGGCGCATGGTGTCCTTGCCTGTGGAACACAATCATCAATACCCTCTTTCAGTCGTACTCATGGCTCGCCAGGCTACAGACGATCTTCTGCAGGGAGGCTGCTAGTATCGGCATTTCTGATATACGCGCACAAATGAGACATGCGGGGTTGGGCCCCCGTAGAGGCAACGCGGACATAAGACAATTCATATAGTGAACAAAATCTCTTTCTGCCCCCAACTGCGCCGACATAGGTTTACGAAGAGCGCCCGACGAGAGCCCCGGAAAAGACCGAGTGGGCCTTGGGCCCCTCCTGGATCAAAGGTGGTCCGTATCCCAACGCTTTGGCTGCAAGCGCCTCTCGGTCCGCAAGCGGCCAGGGATAAAGGGGCCTCTCACGCAGTGCCAACGTGGTCCGCTACGCCACCGGTGGGAAAACACACACAAAAACACACACACACAACAAAAAAAACAGTGGGAAAAAACACAGTGTGTGTGTTTTTTGTGTGTGTGTGTGTTTTCCCACAGTGTGTGTTTTTGTGTGTGTGTTTTTCCACGTGTGTGGTTTATCCCCCTCGGCGAACCCGACTGGCCCTTTGAACTTGAACATTTGCCGTTCGCAACCGTTGGGTGCCAACACTGCGTGCCGACCTGTGGCGACGCGCGTCCCTATGCAGATCCTCGGAACGCTGACAAGCGGCGACGCGCAGATCATGACAGGTTAAGCCGCGTCCACGTGATCACCGCCAGGTCCAACTCTGTTCGCCGATGGCGTGCTTGTCGAAGAGGCTCCCGAGGAATCCCGCATCTACCCCCCTCCCGTCCTCCCGCCCTCCCTCTTCCTTGTTCGAGCTTATCTTGCTACGCGACGCTTGGCACGAGGCCCCCAAGGAATAGAAACTGGCCCAACACTCGCTGCCCGCTCTGATCCGCTTCACTGCCCGTGGGACTGGATGGCAGCACCCGACGACCGAGAACGACCGACGACCGAGAACTTTGGCCAAACAAACGAACGAAAAACTTCCCTCTATATGCTTGGCTTCATATTACCAGCGCACTAGGAGTAGCGGCACTGGGCCCGACTCCCTCGACCTGGGCGCGAAGTGCTCCTCCCCCACGGACGGCAGATGCCGCGCCTGCACCATACACAGTCGTACCAGCAAGCCACGCAGACGCCCAGAGTCCATCATCATCTCCTCCTCCATCTCCTCACAAACCTCCTCCTCCTCCTCGTCCGCTAACCCATCCTCCGCCTCATCCTCATCCTTCTCCACCGCCACCGCCTCCTCCTCCCGCCACGCCTTCTTCTCCCCCGTCTCTCCACGCCCCCTCCACCTTCCCCTCCTCCTCCTCCTCCTCCTCCTCCTCCTGTTCCTCCCCCCCTCATCCGCAACCTCCTCTCCCTACTACTCCGCCAACCCATCCTCCGCCTCTTCCGCATCCTTCGCCTCCGGCACCCCCTCCTCCTCCTTCCAAGACTTATCCACCCCTCTCTCCTAATCAG